TAAAGCTGAGGTGCAGCGACGCCAGCAGCTCCAGGAAAGCATGAAAAGTGGGGAACAGCTGGAAGCAGAGGACAAAGCTGTGGAGGAGAAAGAGGCTGAGCCGAGCACGCCTTCTGCTGCCATCCCCTTAACACAGAGCTCTGCTTAACGTGTACCTCGCTTTAAAAAAAAAAAAAAAGTTTAAACCGCCCTTTTCTGAATCTGGCCCAGGGCCTTAGCTGCCCTCGGAGCAGCTCCTCCTTTTTGACAATGTTATTGCACTGGTACAATTAATACACAATGCAAAGAACTAATCTGAGCAATGTAATCTGTCTGCCCAAGCTTGTGTCTGCCAGGCGAGGGGAAGCGGCCGGAGGCAGCGCAGACCCGTCCTGGCGCGGGGCCCTCCTGCCGTGTGCGTGTCCGTGTCGTGTGTGTGCGCAGCCGTTGTTTCTACTTTGTACATATGAATTCCAAATGAACTGTCTGGAGGAATGTAACATTTCTCAGGTCATTTTTATGTTGACTAAGGACACTGCTTTGCTAAACCAGTAAAGAACCAGCCCCATCACTGCTCCGCGTTCTTGTAAAACGTGGATTCCAAGCCAAAAGATTGATTTCCCCCAGTCACTATTCAAGCTTGGGCTGAGAACAGCCATGTATTTGTGTCACTGAGATGACTGAAGCCTGTGACATGTGCAAGTGGGGGATGTACAGCATTTTCTACATCAGGATATAGCCATGGGATCCCTTTAACCATTTTTTTCTATGTTTGGTTGGCAGTTTGGCAATTCAGTGGGGTTTTGTAACATTCACATTCTAATTTTCAAGGTAAAGATATAGATAGATATATATATAGATATATATATATATAGATATATATATATTATATTCACTGTTCCACCTCTGCCTCTGCTTGCAGCTGAGTAACCTGGGATACTGTATCCAAAGAGTGAGGGCTTGATCTTTAAAAAAGCGCACAAACTTCCATTGCAGCGGAACCCCCGGTGCCTCGGTGAGGTGGGAATGCAGCAAACGAGGGCTGAGCTGAGGGGAGTGAGGAGGGAACCACAACCCTATTCAAGAGCAGGGGAGAGGGGAGGAAAATCCAGAAATAGAGACCTGGTATCATTTGCAACAACAGCTGTTGACACAGAGCTGAGGCCCCTGAACCTGAGAATCACAACCAGAAAGCACCAGGTTTTGGGAAAGGGGTTTGCATAAAAACTGAAGTTCCCCCAGCACTGAAACCTCTGGCAAATACCTTTGCCTCTGGCATTTTTGCACACTGGTTTTGGGACTGGCGCTGGGAGCTGCCATTGCTGGCAATGGACGGTACTGAATGGCAAGTGCCACTAAAGAAATGCTCCCGTCCCCTCCCCTCCCACACCCATCCCGGGGGTTGTCACTGTCCTCACGCAGGTAAGATGTGGCTGCTGCAGGCCCTGGGATGCCGACAGTTGAATGTCCCGTTTCCCAAGCAGATCAAGCTGTAGAAGGGCGGGCTGGCCGCAGCCCCCGCTGCCCAGCCTCTCCCTCCCTCGCGGTGTCTGTCCTGGATCGTGCCCCGTGCTAATCCGTGCTGCTTCTCTTACTGACCCTTGGAGCCAAGTGCTGTCCCTGTGCTCTGTACCCTCGGTTTCCTGTCTGACCCTACAGCTACTTGTAACTCCCGGGCTGGGCGAGGGGGGAAGGAGGGAGCAGCCTCTGAGGTGTTGGAGGCAACAAAGCAGAGTCTTCACTGCAAATGAATTTGCTCCTATTAGAAAAATTCTGAATTTCCTGGAAAGCAATCAATAAATGACTACAGTGCATCTTTCCTACAAGATTTTTCTTTTACTAGTGTCTTACAGTCCATTAAAAGCTTTTTAAACTCTTGCAGGTATTTTTTTGGTTTCTTTACTGTTTGGTGCAAAGTGTTGGTACCAGCACTGGAGCCACCACTGCTGCTCCTCTGAGCTGGAAATGGGGGGAAGGAACAGGAGCAGCTGACCCCGAGGCTTTAAAAGCTGTGAATCAGTACCAGAGTCACAACCCCAGCCCAGAGGGGTAGGACCCACCACCTCTGCTGTCAGAATCCATTTGTGCTCAGGGAGAGGAGTCCCTTTGCCCTCTCATCCCAGGGGAGATGTGGGAGCAGGGACACAGCTTTGGGGATGTTGTGCCCGTGTGAAATGAAGCTGAAGGAGACAAGTCCTGGCTACTGAGGCTCCACAGCTCCAAGGGTAATGCACGCTGGTAAATAACTGCATTTGCCAACATCTGTCTGTACCTCACTACCTCTTTTGGGTTCTGGGGGTTCTCATTCCTCTGTTGACAAGTTCTTAAAACACGAGTTTCAAATGGGCCCAGCTGGGCTGGAGGCAGGCAGGTACAAACCCATTCACTGAAAAATGTCCCAGTGCCCATCAGTGCTGCACTGGGACTGGAACCACGACGGAGCTGCTGCCAGCGCAGCACCTGCTGCACGAGCAGCAACTCACCGAGCCAAGGGGGAAAATTAAATTTAACTGCCCATGCTGTTCTTGGCAACTCACACCTGAACCTGCCTTGTGCTCCCTGTGAGAAACTCACTGCTTGTGGACATACGAGGCTTGCCTTTCAACCCTCACCCCAAAAGCCACTTCTGTGCCCCCTGTCACCCCAGCTGGGATAGCCCATGCACGCACTGGCTCCGGCAGAGCCCAGACTCAGGATTTTTTTCCCCAGATGCAAGTGGGTCACATCCAACTGTCCATCCTGTGTCTGTTCCCACTGCAAAGTACCACCCCACCAGCTGCTTCCACAGACCTCAGCTGGCAGGAGTGCCCTTGGATTCTCTCCCCATACCAAGCTCACAAGCATATATCCATGCTCTTCCATGATGAAGATGTGCCCATTCCAGTTCCAGCCACTGACCCATCTCCAAACAGTACTTGAGGCAGTTAGGGCCAAATCACAGGCAAAAAATAAACCAAAGCACACAGAGGCACAAGACCCTAATAGCAGAACAGATGTGCCAGAACCCCCCAGTGCTTCAGCTTTCCAGTACCAGCTCCAACACCGAGGCAGGAGCAGTGACAGCCACTCCTGCCTGCAGAGACAGGGGCAGGAGAAGGGAAAACCCCACCAAACCCAACCCAAGCAGGGCTGGTCTGCCAGGCGCAGGGACAAGGCTCTCCTGCCCACCTGGGAGTCCAGCTTAGCCCACCAGAACGTTTCCTGCAGCGCCTCATTGCATCGGATCAAACCACAAAACCTCTCACTACTCCAGCTGCGTGACCAGCTCCAAACTTCCTGCAGCCTCAGGTGAGCACAAGTTCAATTAAAATCAGAGCAAGGGCCAAGCAAAGTGGGAGCAAAATCTGAGGGTGAAACACCAATAGCTTTTTTCAAAATAGTTTTAATTCTTGCATCCAAGGAAACAAAACCACATCTAGTTTTATATGCATTTAATAGTTTACCAATTGGTACAATAAGATTTTTTTAATATGCAGAAAACATGAATAAATTTTGTTTTACACAGTCTGAGAGCAACAAATCTTACTGTAAAACACAGAGCAGTATTATATACATTCCTTTACCGATTTTGTTTTAATTGTGTCAATAGCTTCAGTTAACTCCTACAGCCTGGGAACTGTTCTCTCCAATTGCAACCTCTAAGAGCGCTCAAACAAACATCTGACATTTGCCTCCACGTCAATGTCGGGACCGACTCTAAAGCGTGAGGATTTTGCTAACTTCTCTTCAGAATGAACTCAGGGAAGCCTGAGGGACAGGCAGGACAGGAAAGCAGCTACTTACATGACACAGTGGAAAGATAAAAAGGCCAGTTACTGCCAGTTGTGACTTGCAAATCCAACGCGACCCCCCCGCTCCCCCCCGTCCATCCCACCCCTCTATGCACGTGCTCTTGCTACAGGACTCTCGGCATTGATTTCGTACACGGACGTTATATACAGCTGGACACAACAGCTCACTCCAAGGGCGCTTTTCCTTCACTCAACTCAGCATTTGCAATATTCAAATCATTAAAGGATTACCAAGCCACCACTGTCTACGAAAACAAAGTATTTTTCCTTTTGAACAGCTCTCAGGGGAGTCAGGAGCTGTCCACGAGTGGTTTCTCAGGCAGTTCACAGGGACAGGAAGCGGCAGAGGAGGGGCAGGCACCCCATGCCCACAGTCCCCACTCACCAGGGGTTGTTTTCCTTTCCTCAGTGTCCCGGGCACACATTGGTCACACCACACACGAAAGCAGGGTGGGTTTGTTTCACCTTCTGAAGTGCAAGATGGTATAAAACATCAACCTCCAGCTCCTACCTAAAGCACAAAACACGTCGCACCTTCGGCCCGCGTGGCGTGCCCAGGCCAGGCTGAGCCCAGGGATCTGCAGTGGCTCTGGTGACAGGCCAGAGCTGGGTCCTGGCACGTGCTGCCAGGGTTAGTCAGGAAGTGCCAAAGCAGCAGTGACCCCCTCGCCCCCTCCCATGCATCTGGCTCATTTCTGACCCAGTAACTCCCTGCTGCAGGTCTGATCACAGCAAAGGCACAGCACCAGCTGACACCAACACTGGGGACGGTTGCACAGCGTGTCCCAGTGTCCCCTCACTCCCACGCCTGTGGTGTGGCTCCCTTCCAAGCAGGGCTTCAGCTTTGGTCCAGCTGGACCATCCCTGAGATGATTCCCTGCTGCCCCAGAAGGCTCACTGCACAGGAGCAGTGCTGAGTGTCACACTGCAGCGATGCTGCTGCCAGCACTGCGGCCGGGGGGCCTGGGAAATGCTTCTTTGCTACAGGGAAAAAATGCAGTAGACAACTTCCACATCACAGGTACCTTTAATTTCTCATTCAGGTTTTGAGTTATGTACATGAGGGTGGTTTACTTTAGACTTAAATAAAGTTTCTAGGTCCTACCAGGAATTAAACAGATGTTATTACCTTACAGTTGCAGATGCATGGAGGGATTTAAGATGCACTACTTGTGTATCTGGAATTCTCCAATAGGACAAAAAGCAGCAAATTTTTCCAGTCCAAGCAGCTAATGAACAAAACAGACTTTATTGGTGCATGCTTATGCAGCAACACACACTGAGAATGACAGAAACCACTGGATTTAAGAGATTAGCCTGGATCTCAAACTGGCTCTGAAAACCCCCACATCAGAATCCCGCTTCCCAGAGGATCCCACACCCCAATCCAGCTCCTCCCACAGAACAAAGGCTCCTCCTGGGCTGACTGTGGAAGTTCCCCCCTCACCAGTGCAGTGTGTTCACCCTCCAGCCCATCCTGTGCTGGTCAGAGATTCTCAGCTTTAAAAGGGACATTTTAAAAGCCATGGATTAAACCAAAGGAATAAAATAAAGCACAAATTCACCTGTTAAAACATCAGCCTGGTACTTCATTGTATTGTCAATTTTAAAGTTGATTTTTAAAAACACCTGGTTAGTTTGATAAGTATTGTAATTCTTGGTTATCTACAATGGAATCTGTCACAAAAATGCTGATTAAAATATTAATTTATAATATTTTCATTCATTTCAGATCAAAATATGTAACTTTAGGGATATGCAAATTAAAAATTGTGTACACCAAACAACATAAATACTAATAACTGAGCTGGGCTGGTTTGCTGATAGGATTTGGGTTTGGTTTTAATGTTTATCATCATTCCCACAGATGGGTGTGGGCTTTGTTCACTTTAGGAGCCTGCATGGATCTGACCTGCCATTGTCGACTGATTCTCAAGATACTCAGTGCTTCCTTTAAAGGTTTCAATGCTGCAGCCCAAGGTTTTTCTCCACTTGCAAACCCCAGGATGTTTTAACTGGAGCCACACTGCCAAGGTGAGGATCACCTCATTGTCCAAGGAGGCACTAAGGAAACCAAAAAACTTTTGTATACCCCAATTTCCTGCCAGTGAATGAGGGAAGTGTCCTTTGATCCTGCTGTGTAAATAGGAATTGCACATCTCTAACAAACATGGAAAGCAAACAGCAAGTTGGACCATGGCAGTCATTTGGGAGAGGAAGCTCTACTGGAAACTGGATCACTAAACTCTAGTGGGATGGACAACTCCTCCTGGAAGTTCGTCTAGCATAAAAAAAAAACCCCAAACAAAAAACCATTTAAACTTAGTTTAACAGCACAGCTTAACCATTGAATGACCAAATAAAAAATAAATACATTTATCACATCAGCTGCGACTAAGATTTGTTGTCTTATTTCAGGTTTACAGTCAGTTCTATAAATATACCAACCCTTGCGTGATAGGAGGCCAAAACAAATGTTTTCTGTTGATTTGGCAAATGTTTCATGACAAATATTCCAGAGTTTAATTAATTTCCATTAATTACATATAAGGTTCAGAAGATTCTGAATTGCAGCCTTATTATCTAGTATTCTTAGAGAAGATTTATTAAGCACACTTAAGTGATGTTACATAGATACACATTTCTGAAAGAGCCCTACAAAACTTTTCCCAAATGAGGTCACCAATTCAGGCACCAACAGACAGCAGAAAGAAAAACAGGTATAATTATCCGACATAACGACACTGTCAACTATTCAGTTAAGTGCCCTATTCCAATCATCCCACTTCTGCCTTCTCAGGTCTGATGTGACCAATGCCAGCCCATGTTCTTAAACCTATGGTACTTCTAGACAACGTATGTAAATTTACAGTATACAATTTGGATTCACCATGCATGAATACTTTGTGTGTAACATTTAATAAGCTCAATCTACATCCAGAATAATTTACATGAAAGGACAATATTTATTTAAACAGAGCTCAATGGGTAACCATGGTATCTGAGTGCATCCAGAGGAAAAGGGGTCACTGTGAACTCCATCAGCGGCACTCCCACACTTTTACTGTTTGATCTACACTCCCAGTCACCACGTACGGGGCTGTCTTGTGGAAATCTGCCGGGAGACAAAAGCTCACGTTACCAGTGAACCCACAGCTTCAGCATTCCCTACTCTCACTGAATGGCACTGCCTTCTCAAAACAATTCTACCAGCTCAAAGGCCAAATCCCAAAGCTCCTGGCTGTACGTTTGTAGCCAAATTCTCTCATGCTGTTACCAAGATCTGGTAACACGAACCAGGAATGTCCGGGAATCCAAAGTAACTCATTTCTGACTGTTGTGCACGCCCTTCTTTTCCTTTTGCTGGGCAAGCACTGACACTAGAGCCCTCCCCACGTGCCTGCACGCTCTGGTGACAGGTTCCAGAACTCCCTGTCAGTTAACATTCTTATCCATGAGCAACACTGGCAGCAGAAGTGGAAAAATCCAGCACACTCCAACTCCACAACTCACATGGGTGGGGGGTTTGACTAGAACCTGGAGGTAATTTCTAGTACATTTCTTTACACAGACAGCACAAGGTGCCACCCCAAGGTGAATGGCAGCGTGGTGCCCAGCTGCAGCCAGCAGGGAAGCAGCAGCTCTGGCACAGGGAGCAATACGTACCCAAAGAGGTAACAAAGTGTTCGTGCGCGTTGAGGGTTTTCATGCATCGCTTGTTCTTGAAGTCCCAGACACGGAGAGTCTTGTCATCAGCACAGCTCAAAATAAACTTTCCCCCAGAATGGAACAGGACGCCACGTACCCAGTTATCATGGCCCACCTTGTGCACAAGGAGAGATCAGTGAGCAGGCTGAGAGCCCAGCACCCCACAGCTCGTGCTGCGGCACCCTGAGGGACCCTGCCCGGCCCGCAAGGACAGCACCGAGCCCCCGAGGCCTCTCAGAACTCACAGCTTATCTCCAGTTTCTATTATTACACCTCTATCAGTCCTCCCAACAATGCAAGCTCCTGTACTTGAAGGAAAACAAACAGCAGTCCTCATGTGATCTGCACCAGCTCTGCTCTCCACCCCCAGCACCACCCAGTGCAGCCAGAATCTGAGCTGGGAAAGGCAGGCTGTGGCCCACGGGAAGTCCCACACGTGGCAACAACATGGCATTTCACAGAAGACACAATTCAGATCATTACCAGCATTTCTGCAAACAAACCAAGCTACTCATCACAGAGCTACACCACAGTACTGCATTCACACTACGATTTTGGAGACTGTCAGTATTTCTTAGCAACAACAATATCTGAACCACAGAAGCCATTAAAACTGTATTTCCAGCATTTGCATTATTGTAACTCTGGCTTCTCTTGAAAACATGACATGCAAGATAATGCATTTCATTAAAACTGGTTGTACATATGCAGCTAGGACTGCCAGAAAGAAACACCAATGGACTTACAAGTGTCATAAGGCACATGCCAGTGCTAATGTCCCACATCTTAATGGTCTTGTCTCTGGATCCAGACAGCAGAAAAGGCCCAGGCTTGCCACTCTTCTTAGTCTACAGAAAATTATGTTTTAAGTTATGGTACACATAAGATGGAAGCGGCAAGAGGAGGAATGAAGCAGATCCCTTCCCAGTGATACTGTTTAGTACCAAAATCAGATCATACAACAGCTTACAGTGAGTAAACCCACACTGACAAAGCTGGGTCACAGGCACTGGTACTAATGCTCAGAGAATTACACAGTCTGTTAAAAGAAGCGGTTGTTTGTCCTGCTGATTCCACAAGCTCAGTAACACTTTGCATACACACTTGCCTACTGCAAGACACCCTCTGTTAACAGCAGACACAGCCCAAATGCCACATCTCGGGGACAAGGACGCAGCTCACACACACCTCTGCGTTCCCATTTGTCAAAACACGCAGTGAAGCAGGGTTAGGAATTTCTGAGCATTCCCTCTGGAGGTGGTTTGTGCGCGGGTCCGTGCAGGGTGCGCGCGCGGCCGAGCCCTCACCTGCCCCAGGTGCGCAGGGAGGCGCTGGGGCTGTGCCCCGTGCCGCCAGCAGGGGGCAGGGGCGGGGCCCTGCAGAGCCCGCGCGGCCAAGGAAGGACACACGGACTCTCGCTTTCATTACTTGTAATTAAAGGGTTATAACGACCTTTAAGCGATTCAAGTAAAATTTGACTGAAATAACCTGTAAAAGCCATCACTAGTCAAGTCCCTGTGTTCAGTGTGGCTACTTTTCCCCTGGGGTGTCTATGGCCTTTGGAGGCAGAGGGCAAAACAGCAATGCTGGGTGGGGGGGGCTTGACTAGAAACTGGAGCTTATTTCTATTTCCTTTTTCCTACATTTTAACATCCTTAACGAAAATTTCTTCTGGCCTTTAGCCTTTCTTGAGGCTCACTAGAAGGGGTATCAGTGATCACACAAACTGGGACTCATTTTAGTTAAGGAATGCTTTCTTCCATCAGTAACTGTACAGTAATCACAGCAATTGGTGTTCAGCTCCAGCACTGCACACTGCACCCAAGGCAGCTTCATTCTGTATTCCTGACTGGCTTCTTCCCCCCTCTACTTTCCAATTGCTAAGCATCCTTAGAATCTTCTGACAGAGAAGCTGCTTTACACGTTTCTTTGCTGCAGTACAAGACAGGGATCTCACTCTCACCCCTACCTGAACAGAGCACTTCCCTGAAGTTCACTTTCACTAGTGCAAGGAGAGGTCCTAAACACAAAAGCTGGATGCTGGGAAGCCAAGACATGGCTTAGCTGCACACCAAGACACTTGGACAGAAGTACTCATAATACACCTGCTGTACCTGCCAGGCCCTTTGAGCCCAGAGCTCAGTGGCCACCAGCGCTACGCAGAGCACGGACAAAGCTCTCTCTGTGCCTGCTTGTGTAACAGCCCGGGAATGTTACCTCTGATCCTGTAGCTTCTGATATGGTGGAGTAGGAGCTCTCGGGAGCCCAGGAAATGCACTCTACCACATGCTCGTGCTCTCGGAGCTCAGCTTTGCATTCCTTCGTCGCCACCACCCACACGCGCACCGTCTGGTCGTTGGAGCAGCTGGCAATCAAGGTGCCGTCCTGGTTGGGCCGCACCATGCGCACCCATTCTCTGTGCCCCGTGAAAGTCTTCACGCAGTAGCTGCAGGAAACACAGCCTCGCTCAGCCTCCGGCGCAGCCACCCCTGCAGCAGCCTCGGAAACCTGAGGACGCTTCACCTACTCTTGGTTAAGATCAAATATTTTAGCGCACGCACGCTCATCCAGGCAGGTGATGGAGCACGTCACAAAGTTTGTGGAAAGGATGCTGACGTGAGAAAGCAGCGACAGCTAGGAGCTGTCGCCCTGATTTTGTAAGACTTTGTTAAGCCTTCTGATGTTTGCATTCTTTCAACAAACTTTCGCTCACACAGTTCTGTAAATAACCTATGTTTTGCATTCTTTCATGGAGGTGGAGAGAATTGATGGACCCTTGGTCTGTCCAGTGGCATTGGAGAGGTGGCACTGTCACCCTCCAATCCACTGTCACCTTTGGAAAACTATAAATGTTGGAGTCAGAAAATAAAGCTCTTCTTCTTCTTTTTTGTTCTCCTCGAGAGCAGCAGTGTCTGTGTCATCATTTCGTGCCTTATCACAACAAGGAGCTAGCAAAAACTCGTTAAAGCAAAAAGCAGGAAACCTGGGCGAAAATTAAGTTGACAAAACTACTTGCATTAAACAGGTATTTTAAGAACAAGTAGAGATTTACAGGTCATTTAGGTTATTAGAGAGGCAACTGATAAATGAAACAAGCAAGAAGACAAAAAAAAAAATCAGGAGACACCTTGATCTGTGTCAAGAAAGGTAACAGATTTAAAGGTAACCTTTAAACTCAAGGTTAACCAGTGAATTTATTTTCCTAATTGGTCGTCAGCTAGAGATCCATCCCCATAGCTTCCAGAAAGACAAAAGCAGTTAGCTTTAATTAGTCACTATTAACATCTAAACCCCTCTGCCTAATGATTGGGGCCGAATCTTTCAGTGAATTACTCTAAATATCACTTCTCAATTCAAAGAGTGCCTGCTGACATTCAGATTCCTGTGTCCCATTTTACACACAGTGGTTTCTCCTCGCTTTTGTTCTGGAGCTGTTTGCTCACAAGTGCACTTACCCTGTCTGGACTTCCCACATTTTGATAGTTTTATCCCTTGAGGCAGAAACTATATGATCTCCATTGGGCATGATGGCTACCGAAGAAACGTTATGATCATGACCTAAAAACAAAATAAAGCCTTTACTAAGAGGCACTGGCAGAGTTTTCACAGAGCACACAGGACTTGCCTTTTTTTTGTTTTTAATCTTGGGGAAGTAGCTACAGCAGCAGAGAGTGCTTTATTGAATAATCTTTACATGTAAACTTGAGGTTTTATGAAATAATCATCCTTATTTTTAGAACCCACACAGTCCAGACACTGAGCATCCTTAAAGGTGCTTTCTGTTTACTTGGTATACCTATGTGTGGGTGTTTATTTTTTTATGTCTCAAACATTCTCTATTTCTACTCACCACTTCTACAAGATGATCCTAAAAGCAAGAAAAAAGCTCCTACATAAGACTATAAAAACCATCTGCTGCCAATATTAGAATCCTATAGCTGTGTGTGCTGTACTTTCTCATTTTTCCTGTGGCTTTCAAACACAGTGCAAAGGGAACCTTCCCGTGTGATCCAACACACACAGGCAAACCCCACAGGGAGCAGCCACAACTCCTCTGGCACCGATTCCTCCCTTCCCGTAGCCCTGCATCAGGAACTGGGGGCTGAAGGAAGGAATCTTGCACAGATCTGAAGGCAGTTTTACTGTCTAGCAAGCATTTAATATTTAAAGCTAAAATCCCTCTAACTGTCATTTTATTTCAGTATCATTATGAGATGCTTTCTACACCATCATGCATAGTAGATTTAAGATGCTATTTCAATCCATAAACACTGAATGCATCCCCTATTTACAGGGCACTCAAAGCATCAAATTATATCCCCCCTTTTTTCTTTTGGAAAATAACCTGGTCTATAACCCCTTTCCACATCAGCAGTTTTCCTGGATTAAAAAAAAAGAGTAAAAAAACCTCTTCACTTTACAGACTGCTAAATCAATCCCTTTATACCTTACCATGCATAGTTCTGATGCACTCAAAGCCCTGGAAATCCCATAGCTTAATGGTCATATCAGCAGAACAGGAGGCCAAGAGTTTGCCAGTGTGGTCAAAGGAAATATCTTGCACAGAGTCTGTGTGCCCCTTCAGGGTTCTCTCGAAGTCTCCTGTCTCATAATCCCACACCTGACAAGGGAGTAGACAACCTGTTAGCAGCAGCCCATTACCCTTTGTATTCTCCAGTCTCACATTTGCACTCTGCAGGCCAGTCTGGCACCTTGTTCAATAATTAAGCAAGAGACAGGCAGCCCTAAAAAGCTTAACAGTAGAGAAAAATAAATTTCTTTTTACATTATTTTGTTGCTTATAAATTAACTGAATTCATGCATTTTGAAAACTGTTTTCAGCTACCTTTAAGCATTATAAGCCCAGCAGGAGAAACAAGTTTCACTGTATTGATGTCACCTATTCCACAGGCAGCTGTCTGGAGCACACACATACCTTTATTGTGGCATCCTCTGAAGCAGAGACCATAACACTGAACACTGGATGGAAAATGACTCGAGTGACAGGACTCCTGTGCCCACTCAATGCATACTTCTCTGGAGGACGAGGAATCCACTCTTTAGGGTCTCGTTTCTGACCAAGAGGTCCACCTGATGTAAATTCTTCCTTAGCTTCATTCAGCTTCGATTCTAATTCCATTACCTAAGTGTGAGAATTTTAAAGAGACCTTTCATTTCCAGTTTTATACAAGATCTAATTCACCCTCCTCATTAGTAATCCAAATAACAACTGACTCCAGCACTCAGAGTAAAGCAAAGATTGCACGGACCGAAACTGATTACCAACATTCAGTAGCACTGGTTTTAAAAATCAAACCTAAATTAATCATTTATAGCTTATTCTTTAATAATTTATAGTTAATTCTTAATCATTTAATCACTAATCATTTATTCTTTTCAAATTCCCCAATGTTTTCACAAGAAAAAAAGTTCTACAAAATCCCCTTTACTCGCACACTGTACAACTACATCTGAATTACTATTGTGCCAAACTACCAAAGGAGGGTGTGCTAACAAAAAGGAATGCTACTGCTGCAGGAATTCTGTGTCCTGTTGGAGCTAGCACACACATTAACCAACACCAGAAACACTGGAGGGCTAATAAACCCTCGCTGTATTGACCTGTACAAGGGATAGGACTTCATTGCTAACACACTGATTTTAGGGGTTTTTTGCTTTCAATACACTCTTGGGCCATTGAAGCATGACTAAAAGGAGTTTTGTACTCTCCACTTGCAGCACAACCCCCACTGGAACGCACTGGAGCTAATGGCTCCTTCCCTCGAGGGCCATGGCCAAGGACAACAGGCAGCACTGCCTTCTCCTCCGCTGCAGCCCAGCCCGACCCCTGCACACAGGGATTCCATCTCCCTGCTCACCAACTGCCCCAAGGCACCTCCCCAGCTTCAGGACTGCACGTGCCTGCTCTGGGCTGAATGCTTTCTGGGATAACTTTGTATAGGTGCACATCCAGCACATCTCCACTTACCTTCTTTTGTAATCTTATAACAGATGTCCATTTCTTTTCCAGAAGTCCAGCATACTTCTTATCTAACTCTTCATTCTGAGCAGAAGCATTTAAAGAAAGAGGAAGAAAAGCAACACAGAAAAACAAACATCAGAGATGCAGAAGGAACTAAGTGCTGCCCATTCTTTCCATTACAAAAATACAGTCTCATGCTACAACAATCCTAAATGAGATGAAGATAACAGACATCAGAAAATAAACATGCCAAGGCTTACTCCACAGCAGATAAAAGCTCTTAGGACTCACTACCTTGTTCAGAGACAGATATTAATTTACTGCTATAGAGGGGCACTTGTGAAAGCTGGAGTTATTTGCATGAGTAATCCATACAAAAATTAAATCTCGCTTTGTAGAGCTACACATCAACCATTTCAATTTACTCAAATAATTTCAGCCTTTACCTTTTCTTTCCACTTTAGTATAGCCCACTCCAATTCAGATTTTCTTGCATAAAAGTCACGAAACTTTTAGCAACTGCATTTTCTCTTTCCCTCAGGACCATCTAACCTATTTAGATTGCTTTCCTAAGCTTTGGGAAGAGGAGACTAAATGAGGTTGATAGATAAGGCAGATAGGGAAATGATATTAGGATTTTCAATTAAAGTATGGTATTTCAATTTGTCATTTCTACTTATTCAATACTAGTAGCAAATTGGAGAAATTAAGTCCGACTTCAAGCATTTTAGAAAAAGAATGATGCAAGATACATAACAAAGAAAAGGCAAGGATTTATCCAGCACACAGAAGTTTACTACTCAATCCAGCTGTAACCATATGAAATGCATACCTCCTATGCTAATAGGTAGCAAAGTTAAAAATTATACCAAATTATCTGTGACAAAGGCAATTCAACAGAATCAAGTTACAAGAAATGACTGGTCTGAGTCATTGGCATCTGTACAGTCTAAGCAAACAGAGCTGCTTACCAGAGCTGGTCACACAATCACAGAATCACAGCCTGGTTTGGGTTGGGAGGGACCTTGAATCTCATGTTGTTCCACCCCCCTGCTGGGGAATACCTTCCTCTAGACCAGGCTGCTCCAAGCCCTGTCCAACCTGGCCTGACTGGATGATGAATCTCTGTGAACTGTTTCAGCCTGCCCTCCTACTACATGGTTACCCAAGAGGTATGCAACAGACTCAGGCAATGACTTAACTCCTGACCCAACTCATATCTCAAAAGGATTTTCCAACATTGGCTCTGTATGACAAAGCAGACGACAAATGCAATCCAGTTTTGTCTTCCTGTTTCTCAAAGATTCCCAGTGAAGTCAGTCTCCAAAGTTGCACAGCCTCAGACCATTTGAAATCTGGTTATAAAACCATTTGCTCAGAAATGGTCAACTCACCCAATGATTATTTTTCCCTTTTCTGGTAAGGCAATAAGCTGTGTGAGCTCATCACCTCCACTTCTGAAAGTGTCTGAGCTAACAGGTAGGTAACAGACACACAGGTTCAGAACAGATGTAAATGCCATAAAACTGACTTCTGAATTAAAATAGAGATGAAGAATCTTGTTTGAACTCACCACATCTAATTCAGCTTCCTTTTTAAAAACCGAATATGCCTCCTCGTAGCCATTGGAACGGAGGTAATCTGCTATCGCTCGATTTCTACAAAACAACAGTTTAAATGCAATTTAAGGACGCAGAGAAATATTGTCATCACAACTTAGTGCATTCTGATCAGTTCCTTGTCTACATCACAAAGTAAAATAGCAAAACATTTCTGGAGTTTACTCAAGATAAATGTAAAATTCACAGACTGCAGCTTATACTGCAATGTGCTTACTGCCAATTGAAGAATCCATTTTTTACACCATCAGTAACTCTGAAATTATATTTTCATCATTTCCCAATTCTGGTTTCAAATACTAGCAGTTCTAGCAAAAATAAAGAGTAGAGAGACCCAAACCACAATACACAATACTTAAAGGGCATGTGAACAAAGACACTCTAAAATCTATTTTGAAACAAATGCTAGTAATTGAAGTTTAATGAAAATGAACACAAACTTAAAAACAATGATCCCTTACAGTTCATCTCGTTGCCTTTGTGACAGCACCATGGTGGCTGAGATGTCAGGTTAACGTGATCGAGCAGCGGCTTCTCCTCAAGAGCTAAAGTCTTGGGAACCCAGGATCCACAATTCAGTCTGCCACAGTGGCTTAAATCACAAGTATTTCCCCAGATGTGAAATCCAGTAGGAAATCCAGAGGCATTCAACACAGAAGATTCAATCCATCTACAAGGAGGAGAGAGAGACTTCATTTGTTACCTTGAAACAAGCATTCCTCAGGCAGCTTTCTTAGATTTATCCAAACAGCATCTTTGAAGACTCTGGCTCTACCTCAGCACGGGGCCCTTGCAGCTACAGTGCTGCACAACTGCAGCACACAAATTACTTTTTCTGCTCCAGTACAACCACCTGAGAGAGTTTTGAAGAACCTTTGACTAAGAGACAATACTTGTTTTCTTTGTTTACCTAGAGTTAATACTTCATCTTGCCCATGTTTAGGGCACGGCAAATTTTTTAACAGTCCTCCAACATGATCAGGGTGGCACCATTACCATGGGAAGAGCTGCCACAGACCCTTGACTGCAGTTGGGCTCAGGCAGTGGATCACAACAATTCAGGATACAGCTGAAACCCAACGCGCTCGAGGTAGTTCAAGTCAGTGGAGCTGAGCTTTTCCAAAACACAGACTCGTCAGTATCCTTCAAAATTCAGAAACATGAACTGCAGCATTCTCAGTGCACAACCTGCTCCAACTGGGCAGCTCCAACCTCTGCCACACATCACCCAACCCACACTGCCTTTGCTTTCTGCACTGCCGGGGCCTTGTGAGCACCAGGACCATGGGAAGTGCTGGAGTGGCACTTCTTGCACACCTGGCAGGTTCTGTACAGAACTCATCGTTCACTCAGGCTGCTCAGCAAGTCTGACTGACCAGCCAGCCTTCAGCACCGAGATAAGCTGAGGCAATGCACAGAGGCTCCAAGACAGCAGGCAGGTTTGTACACTTCTACCAACTGCTTGAGGACTGCTTGCTGCTGCTGCCTCACCTCTGCCCCTCCCCAGACATACAGGTACACTGACTTCAGTATCACAGCTCAATAACAACTTCAGTAAGGAGCCTCCTCTAAACAACAGCCTGCTATGAAAACCGTGAGGAAAATACTAAGCTTGTATCATTAATGGCTACTTATTCATCACAGGGGATCAGAGGCTTCTTTCTAAACCTATCTAGGCCTGCTGTCTGCTTCAAAATGAGCTTAAGCTGCAAGTTGCTTGTTTCCACCCTGCTGGTGGATCTTCCACGTTAAATGCTGCACACTGTAATACTGCCTGCAAGCCAGTTACGATAGGAACACTGAACAGGCAATGCCTCATTTAATTAGTCCAACCTCTTCCCCAACAGCTATTTCAGAAACAATTCGGCTGAAAACTAACAGCATAGGCTTAATCCTTTCAGATAACACAAGCAAGCATTTGACCTCCTCTTGTCCCATAACCCAGTTCACGCCAGGTAAACTGGGTTTCAAGAGATGCCCGGTGCCCAGCACAGAGCAGAGCACCAGACGCAAATAAAGGAAATTTAGCGAAGATCGAACAGAAGGTGGTGCAGTGCCGAGAGGCGCCGGCAGAGGGCGCGCCGCGGGAGCCCGGAGCGCAGGCGGGCACGGGCACGGCACGGCACGGCACGGCGCGGGATGGGCACGGGATGGGCACGGGATCGGCACGGCACGGGATGGGCACGGCACGGCACGGGATGGGCACGGGATGGGCACGGCGCGGCACGGCGCGGCACGGGCGCGGGCACCCCGAGCACACGGCAGCGCCGACGGCGGCACAACGCACACACAAAAACGGCCCAAATCTGCCTCCGGCCCGCCACAGGAAAAACCTCAAGGTGCGATTTGTATTACGAACCGCCACTGTGCAATGAATGCCTAGCAAATCCAGAGCCAGCATATGACTCCAGTAAAAAATCCCAATATCTCATCAATTTTGTAGTGGCATCTGGGAGATGCAATTATAGCACTTGTCTAAAAATAACAGCAACTGTGTTTGTAAGGCCACCTTTCACATGTCATCTATTTAGAAATGCATTTTCCCTGTCAAATGTAAAGCAACCCCAAATTTCTCCATATCCCATATCTACTTCCCAGCACCTGGGCTGCTCCAAATCTAACTCTGAATTGTTAGTGAGAAACAGATCCCAGTACTAGATAAATTCCAATAGCCACACGGCAAAGCAGCTACTCCTGCTATTAGCAAATTACAGCTGAGCCAAAGCCACCAACCAAGTGATCCACAGCATCTCGCTCCTCCAGAAAGGGTCTGGTCCAAGCACCCTGCTCAGCATTCCTGACTTTTGGCTACAAAGCTGCCTCAATAGAAGGCAAAGTATTTTCAGGACTGCCTCCTTCACAGACAAAATCAGAAAAACAAAACAAAAACAACCAAAGCCCACTGCAAACAAAGAAAAAAACAAAACAAACAAAAAACTCACACACAAAGAACCCGCTCAAGCACAAGTGTCCAAACCCAAAAATCCCAAAAGGACCACCATTAATTGCACACCCGTGACACTGTGAACTGCCTTTTTTTCAGCTGGAGCAGACTTTGTGACATACAGGCTTCAGCAAAGCAAGACTAACCAGTCCTCCTCCATCACCTATCAGCCACCACCGAGTTACCCTCAAACAGCTCAGCCATGAGAGGCAGCTGGAGCTCTGGGGGAACCCTGGGGAACAAAAACAACCCACAAAGAGCTGCTACCTGTCCATTACATCGTGCCTCAAAATGGTCACTTGTATCAGCATATTAAGGCAGTGTCAAGACAGAGTAAGATATTCTTCTGAAAGAAAAGCTGTCTTTGCATGAGAATTTTACTGACCACTATTAAATACAGGAAAAAAAACACACTGAACTTAGCCACCCATGGAGTAACAGCTACTAATTAATTGTGAACCAGGACGTGCCTTTTATTAATACCCACTTACACTCCTCCAAGTTGTAGTTTCTAACTCAAAACCAATGTGATTCCCTATCAATAGTCTGCATATACAACAGCACCAAGTGGCAAACCTCTGCATAAGGACAGCAACAGAGGGCTACAGGTGTTCCCAGCAAGATCAGGTGTCTTTGCAAGCCTTTTGAAACTGGGAGCTGGCAGAAGACCTGACGCTGGCACAGGTACAACACATGTGCACCTCTCTCTCCTCCTGGCAGCACAGGACCTGCACGGTTTTCTAGAACAACACAAACCATTCCTTACCTATACAAAACATACTCCTCAGCTCCACTAACAGCAGCAGATCCTCAGCAGGCAACTGCACCTCATCCCAACTGCCCACCTTTCCACTCAGCTACACATCAGCTTTTATGCTCAGGGCTGGCAGAAACGTCAGAGCAATACAGGTAGCACACCTACTTCAGTCCTTTGGTGCTGCAGGACTAGAGAGTGGCATACTAAAGCATAATCTTTAAAAATAAATTAATTTAAAGAGCCAAGAATCATCACAGGCCAGAATTTTTCCCTGCACAAGTTTCTAAAGCACAGAGAATTATTGATGAAGAGCAACAAACTGAGCAGGAATACCTGAAAAACAGAAGAACCCCCACCTGTAAGGGAAGGCAAAAACAGCACAGTGCAGGTCCTTCTGACCTTCTCAATTGAAAAAAAAAATAAATGGGACCCTCTGACTCTTCATGTCTGCCATGGCCCCCTTCCTCCTAGACCGGGGTTGGAAGATCCCTGAGCTTCACACGCTGGGACACGCTCACTGCCGGCGCAGGGCCGGTGCCACCGCGGAGCAAGTGGCTGTGAGCAGGGCACCCTGCCAGCCCCACGGCACCCTGCCAGCCCCACGGCACCCCAGCCTGGCACGGACAGCACAGGAACACCTCCTCCCCAGGGTGACCAGGGATCCAACAGACCGCTGCTGCTTCCTGGCTTCAAACACTGCCTTCTTCCACTGATGGCTATCGGTGTGGCTCAAGTGCTTCCTAGATTACTGCAAAACTTCACAACAACTTAATGAGAGACCTGCAAATGATTCATAAATGCACCAAGAGCAAAATGAAACAAGTTCAGCTTCACTTGTTAGCTGAGACAGCTCTACAGGAGGTATCCAAGCACAATAGCTACACGCTCAGTCACAGCAATGAGGTAGGGAAAAATAATCACTTTCAGGCAAGAGATTCCCCTCAGCTCATGGTATGTTATGCCAATAAATGATACACCTTGGCTTGCAGGCATTTCTAGGACTGTGTTCATACTTGCTTCAGGAGACACTTAAATATTTTCTATATGTGTTCTCCATATGAAACTGAGAAACAGATTATGAAATCAAATTAATTCAGCAGCATTTCAGCCTCAACCTAAAACGGCTCAACTGACTATCAGTGTGCGTTCCTGCTGTTCAGAAAAAGTCACAGCAGAAGTCACCCCCAGCTGAGCTGTGATCCAGCAAACCCAGCTGTGCCAGTGCCTCTGTTGCTGGCAGTGCTCTGCTACCACAGCGAGGTGTAAGAGGACCAAAAATCAGCTTCGTTCCTCGGCTCACCACATGGGCAGCAGCATGGCACTGTTCCACACACCAGCACCACCAGCCCAGGTTCACTCTGCTGCTGCTGTCCAGCAACCTCATGATGGTAGCACATATCCCAAATATATGTCCATGGCTCCTCCAGGAACTTAACAGTAAATTAATTCAATTTCTGCAGCTTTTACGACTGTTGCTTAGGCTCCATAAATGTGTCTTTGCCACAAAAACACAAGCTAGGTACACTAAACATGTAACTGTAGCCCATTATATTAAAAATTAGAAGAGATACATGGTATCAATTACAGAGCTAAATCATCAGCAGATACAGAACAGACCAGCAGAGCACAGCTCTGAAAGCCCAACAAAGCTGTAGCTCAGCACTGCTGTGCTTTAGGAATTGTACATTTTTGCAGAATTCTAATACTTTAGTTAACTCAGCTACAAGACCATTTTTTCCGTAAGTATTATTATGACAACATTTTTAATTATATTCCCCAAGAACATTTATTGAAGGAAACAAAATCAGACGTCACTTCTGCAGATTGCCAGCTCAGGCACACCCAATACACAGCACTTGGTGTTACAAAGGCCCACGAGCCACCACCAGCATCAGGAACACAAAACTGGGTCCACTCTGGGATATCAGTGTGATAATTAAGAGTTTCATTACTCACACTTGAGTTCAAA